GTACACACACACACACACACACACACAAACAAAATGCACAACAGTCATTGAGAATTACCATATTTACATCAAATCAAAAAATTTGTAATCTCTATACTTTAGATTTTAGCAATGCATTGGTTCAGTCAATTCATATTGGACACATCCTGAATAGTGACCCCAAAATTATTGAACTTTTTTTTTTTTTATATTGTGGCTTAAGAATCCATTTTTGAGATCTCTGTACTGTATACTGTAACATTCAAAAGTTTGGGGTCTATAAGATTGTTTAATGTTTTTGAAAGAAATCTCTATTGTTCACCAAGGCTGCATTTATTTGATGAAAAATACAAAACAAAAACCTGTAAAAGTGTGAACTGTTATTACAACTTAAATGAGCTGTTTTCTATTTGAATATACTTTAAAATGTAATTTATTCCTGTGATGCAAAGCTGAATTTTCAGCACCATTACGCCAGTCCTCAGTGTCACATGATCCTTCAGAAATCAGTCTAATATGTCTAAGAAACATTTTTCTTATTATTATCAATGTTGAAATCAGTTGTGCTAGTTTATATTTTTGTGAAACCCAACCGTGATACATTTGTCCAAGATTTTGGATGAACTGAAAGTTCAAAGAACAGCATTTATTTTAAATACATATCTTTTGTAACATTATAATTGTCACTTTTAATCAATTTAATGTGTCCTTGCTGAATTACAGAATAAAAAAAAATTGACCCCAAAATTTTGAATGGTAGATTACATGTCCTCATGCATACAATACAAATGTTTCTGTGTGTTTAAGCTGGGTTTGGACACATACTATTGGACAGCAGTGAATCAGTTCTTCCTGTGGGGCAGTCTGTCGGTGTATTTTGCCGTCACCTTCACCATGTACAGCAACGGCATGTACTTGATCTTCACATCCTCTTTTCCTTTCATCGGTGAGTGTCCGTCCATCACAACCACATCCACTCATCCTGCTGTTTGTGTGTTTTAAGCAGCTCCAAATGACACAATCTTTCTCAGGCACTGCAAGAAACTCCCTGAACCAGCCGAACATGTGGCTGACCATCTTCCTGACCACCATATTGTGCATATTGCCTGTGGTGGCAAAACGGTTCCTCTTCATACAGCTCAAGCCAGCTATCAACGACAAGGTGGGTTCAAGTTTTGTTGTCACCTCAACTGATTCAAAATGCAATATATCAGTGTTGTAGTATTTGAGACAGAGTCTGAGACCATATTTTCATGGATCTTGGTCTTGTCCTTGATTCATGCTTGACTCCGACACGACGCTTGACTTGGACTTGTATGAGCTGGTCTCCACTACAACGCTGCAACATATGAACCCAAGAGAAGAATATTGTATGATGGAGTTTTTCTGGCATCACAGGCATCTTGTACTACATGTTTACTATTTATAGTAGTTCTGCTCCAAAACTGCATTCAAACTCTCTCAGGCAATGTGCCAGTTCTCGACAGGATGACAATGTGAGATCTTCCTCCTTTAATGAGTAGAACGCATGTGTCGAATGAGTCAGAGCTGTGGGATGCAGTGGCACGGCTGCAGCACAGCATCATGCTGAGACATAATGTCAAGGTTATTTCTGGAATCCACAATCAGTGGTGTCACAATCTCATGAGCAGGAGTCATTCAGACAAAATGACTACAATTGTGAGCCTTATGCTTGTTCCTTCTTCCTGTTTTTTCAATATTAATGATATTCTTTCCTTTCAGTATACTGCATATTTTCTTCTTGTTCTTCTGCTCTACAGGTGCGCCATAAGGTCAGACAGGCCAAAGCTGTGCCTTTACCACCTCCTCGCAAATTCCCTCGACGACGAATCAGTACAAGACGATCTGGTTATGCCTTCTCTCATGCTCGCGGCTATGGAGACCTTGTCACCTCTGGACGCTTCCTGCGAATTCCAGTTAAGACCAGACCGGCTCTTTTCCCCCACACTGACACGCCGGCTGACAGCACACCTCAGACATATTGAACCATCTTCGAGGAGGCTCAGAGTCCCTAAAGGTCCTTATTCTGTTTATTCACTTGTGATGACTTACCGTCAAGCTTGATTTCACCTTTCGGCAATGGTAATATTTAAATAATAAAGGAGAGATATTCTTAGAGGGGCTTCAAATATTTCACATAGGAGTAAGTGAGATTGTGAAGTGAAGCTGTGAAGCTTTGAATCAGTAAGAAGCTGGTTTTAGCTGTGATTAGTGGCTGAATATCATGTTATATGTATAGGTTTCTTAATGGTATATTAACAACACCTATGTACACAGAAACACTTGACAATCAATCACCCATATGCTTCTCATGTATTAAGACCAGGGGACATAATCTATCCACATAAAAAGAGGCCTAGAGATTATTCAAGAAGAGCTTCAAACAAGCAGATTTCATGTGCTTTTAATTGTTTATGACAGTTTCATAGATGTTTTTTTTTATCAATGAATGTTTGAAATGGTAACCAAATTGCTTTGATATGACATCCTACTTTATCATGTTTTGTACAAAGATGCAAATGTGCCATAAATACAATAAACTTAAAAACTACAAAAATCTTAATGCATTTTTATCGTATTTGTCTAATTTCTATATGTATCATCAATCAGATTAAATCTATTTTATTAGTATTTGTGGTAATACATGTTCAGCACTCAGCTCAATGCATTTGTGGAACAAACCATTTTAATCAAATAATTCAAATTCATTAATCAAATTTTTTAGTTAACTATAATAAAATATATGCATCCATTTTATATTAAGTGTCTTTAACTACTATGTAATAACATTTAAATGAATAATTTGATATAATGTACTTATTGTGTACATTGCACATTTTTACAGTACATTGTACTTATATGAAAAACTGCATGTAATTACATCTTCATTTCTGTAGTTATATCTATAATTATACTATAATATAATATAACTATAATTCTACCCCTACCCTTAAACCTAACCATATCACAAAACCTGTTCCTAACCTTACACATATTCCACCTCAAAATCAGCTATACAACTTGAACACGACAAGTACATTGTACTAAACAATTATTTTTTTCTTTTTTGTGACACGTACTGTACATAGCAGTTAAAGACACCTACTATAAAGTGGAAGCAAATAAATAAGCATAAAGTAATCTTATGAGGAAAACATTTACAACAAACATAGTGTCTCTTTTGGAAACTGCATCTGTAAGAACACTTTGCATGCCTGTCCTTAATAATAATGTTTCATAGTTTTGAGCTTTCTTCTAGTATGCTTTTAAGACTTTGAGCCCAGTTCTCCAATTATCATTATGTTGCCTTCATGTCCATATCGAAACAAAATGACTACAAGGTTGATGGAGTGCTCCAGTTTGTCATTGTTTTCTGCTTGACTGCACTGGATGACCTTGATGAAAATGTACAGGAGGTTTGAGTGACAGGCCACTTGTCCTAATGAAGCTCTGAATGATGCATACTCTTCGATTTTACAAAAGCATTACATGCAGACAACTATATTTACTGTAGAGTTAGTTATTATACTTCCCAGTAAACAAGGGTTAAAGTACTGTTTATAGTACAATTTTATTTAATCAGATTTGAGCTTTTACCATGTGACATAAATTTGCACATATGCATCATTCAGTATAAGCTATCTATCCTACAGTTGTTCTTAGTTGATTAGAAACGATGGCATACAAATATTTTGAGTCATCTTCTAGTTCTACTAACTATTTCTACTATTTAGGTCAGTAGATTACCAGTAAAGCCAGTGAGCTTTTTGATATATAATCTGATGAGATTGTTGTTGTTTACCATGTGAATGGTGGATACAAATCATGAGCTGTTCCCAAATGCATTGTTGAATTGAGAGACAGAGGCAGTCAGGTTAAAGGATTTAGCCACCTTTCCCAGCAGTGCCTACAGCAGATGTTAGTGTTATTATCCATATCCATGCGTCATCAAAGGCAAGAGTCTCTCAAATTGTTATTAGAGTGACATCTGGGGGATGATGACAACCAAAAACAGTTAATTATTGTGGCAGACAAACTTGCCTCTTTCCCCTCTTTTTTTTTTTTTTTGGATTAAATTGAATAGGATAAAAGATATTTACTACATATATAATGCTGAACAGTTCCTTCATGTAATTGGTTTGGGTGAACCAATCATTTAATCTGAAAATGTGATCCAGTTCACAACACCAGTCTAAATGATTTGTGATTCATAAATGATAATTCCATTTGTGGCAGTTAACAGCTCAATGGAAATGAACATTTTTAGTAAATAATTGGCTCCTTAAAGTTCTTTAGAAGATTTGGATTATAGTGCCTTTGGAATATAATGAGTCATAAGGACTACTTTTATCATTCTTTTGTGTCCCTTTTGAGGCTTGTAAACTCCAGTTCCCATTGTAAATTGCATGGAAAAGAGCAACCAGCAGTCTTCAAAACATCTTTGAGTTCCACGGAATGAAAAGTCATAGGGGTTTGGACTGACATGAAGGTGAACTATTCCTGTAAACCTTTCTAAAAATAGGCTTTCTACCATCATCTTTTCTATGTCAGAGATCTGCTTAATTTTGAAACATTAGCTTCTCATTGTCTCAATTTTCTGTTCCAAGTCTTCTTTTTAGTACGAGGCAGTCTTCATTCCCACCCCTTTGTTGAAATCAGAGGCAAATCTGCCATCCCCTCAAATATGATCCCTCAACAACAAACCACTGAGCATGCTCAGTGGGGTCTGTGATGCTGTTGCTATAGGACTGTGGGGCTTAGAACCACTGTACTGGGGGAGGAGGGAATGTGTGAGGAACAGATGAGCTGTGAGGAGTGCAGAGCAGAAAGAAGTGTGACTAAAGAGGAACTACAAGAGGGACGTTGCCTGTTTCCTATCTTTTCATTTTTATTTTCCTGTGTTTAGCCTCTGCTGAGTGGATGTAGAGCATTAGGTTGTGATCATGCGGTGTGTTTGCTCCAGTTACTGTGCAGACAGAATGAGAGTGACTGAAAGATGGAGGTTTACGGCTGGGTGAGTTGATGCAGTTGCCCACGTTAACAGCCTGACCACAGAATCCTAATTTACTGTTAACTAAACATAGAATTTTAGGGCTGGAATTTGGGGGAAAAAAAGCATTGAAAGAATTTATTAACTTGATTAAAATTACAAACTGTTTGTTCAACTTTTAGCTGTTGTTTGGGAAAAAATGGTATCTTCAGAAGTTAGCAAAATATGACACTTTTTTTATTAACTTTATTTTTGGGACATTCTGACATGTCCTCATTTGGAAAAATGACTCATACATAAAAGTTAAATAATGCTGTTTTTAAATCGCAATAGGTTTTTTTAAGGGTTAGTCAGTAATGATTTATAATTACAAAACGAGAAGTCTATGCTATGTCCTCATGTAAATAGATTAGGTTTATGTGGTAGTTAATATATTTAGCTCAGTATAAAAACAACTGAATTCAATAGAAACTCCACACAGATACAACAACAAACATGCTTTTGTTGTTGCTTTTGTGTCTAAAATGTTATATTTTTAGGTTTGGGTTAATCTATTGTCATATCTGGTTTATTCTGTATCTGGTTAATATTGTAATTGTGATTGTTTGATTTATTGGTTTGTACTGAAAGGTGAATTTAAGGTTGAAAAAGTATTGAGTGATGATTTATATGAAAGCATTATTATAGATAATACCCTTAATGCCTATTTTGTCCTTTAGATTCTGGCTTGAAAGCAGTGAAAATGTGGCCATATGAGGTTACAAGAGATTTTGCTGAGTTTTGCATTCACATGTTTATGCCACTTAATCAGCCTGCCATGCAAGAACTGATGCTTTGAAGTGCTGGTGCTTAGAAAATGGATGTCTCCCCAAAGTCAGGAGAAACTCTGATCGTGTGCCACATCCATGGCCAGTCTTTTGGGTGGCACCTATATAACTCTGTACAGACATCCAAACAGCCACGCACTTTGAATCTAACCCACAGTATATCCCTGCCTGAGAGGGGAGATCTGCCGAGGGAAGCACTTGACTATGGCAGTCTAAGCCACACAAGCAAGTTAAGTTCAACAGAAGCAGAGGACAAAAAGAGGACTGAAAATTCTAGAGGATATGAATCGTCCCCAATGCTTCGTGCTCTGTCAGAGAACTCTCCATCGACCAGTCCTCAACTGAAAAAAGAGCCATCGCTTTGCAGAGGTACTCCCAAATGGCAAAACCTCTTCATTCCTGAATCAGAAGTTAATGAGGATGAAGAGGACGAGGACTCGGATGGAGACAACTTGCACAAGTACCATGAGGGGTCATCCCTTCAACTACAAGGAAATGTGACTCAAAGTAATACGAATCCTTTTAGCCAAGTTAAAGAAAACAAAGAACAAGAGAGGGAGTTTGATACAGGTTGCGGGGATTGCAGGGATAGCAGAGCAACCCCTGTATTAATGGACTGTGATGAACAGGATTGGGGTGATGAGGGAGACTTCAGTAACCATACTCTCGAGGAACCTGATAATAGCTGGGCTCCAACGGAAAACCTTATCGAATCCATTACTCAAAACCAAACAGACTATATCACTGACTCTTCCTGTAACAGCTCAGATGGAGTACTAGTTAACTTCAGTGCCATCTACCACAAAACCAACAACGTAGTTCCTGCAACTCCACTAAATCTAGATAGTCCTGGATCTGGTACAGTGTTTCAGGACAGCTCAAACCCTTTGCCCAGCTGGTCATCTCACAGCACTGATCTAAACTGCAACATCTACCCATTCAACTCTGATGGCTTCCCATCAATGGAAATTTCTGACCTCACTATGTGTCTGAAGAGTCAGGCACGGTTAGCAGGTTCCACTCAGAATTACTATAAACTGGTGACGTGTGACCTATCATCCCAATCTTCACCTAGCCCATCTTGGTCCTCTTTGACTAGTTTCTCTGAGACTCAAAGCCAGAGAAGCTGTTCTCCATCTTCCGAATATTTCCTATTCGGACATTCAGAGGAAGAGGAAAGGGAGAAGCCAAAGGTTTTCCAAACTGAACACAAGGTATGTATACCACTACCATACCATACCTATACTAATGCCAAGATTCAGGGCTTTGATTAAGGGATTAATGTGTAACATATGCTGTCTGTGAATTACCAAATACATCGGTATTTATTTATCTAAACCTACAATCCAAAACCTCTCTTCCATCCAGAAACAGGATGATTCAGAGATGGCAGCAAAGTTCCTGAGTGCTGACAATAGTAGTCAATCCAATCCAGAAGGTAAGAAACTTAAAAAAAACATATATTTTGCATTCAGTTCTTGGTTTTCAAGACAGTTTTTCACAACTTTTTCTTGTGTCTACAGGTACATGTGCTTCATTCTCAGATGTTGTGCGGTACACAAAAGCACAAAGGCCCACCTCTCTCCCCATCCAGCCCTTTGTGCTTCAGGCACCCTCAGGAAAACAACAGACCAAAGCACTTGGTTCCCTTCTTAATCAGTACATTAGCTACAAGTACAGCAGGCCTGGGCCATCCAAAGCTACTTGCAAAAGCAAGGCATATCCACATCATAAGCAACCCTCACCTCTCAGGAGTTCCTCTAACATCCACCTGGAGGCAGCGATCAGTTCAGACACTTGTTCCACCTGCACATCAAGTCCTATTTTGCCCCTTAACCCCGTCCAGTGTACCCAGCACTGCACACTATTGGGGCTCATTCACCAGGACAGAAATCCACATATGAGTCCAAATATTAGACCAAGAAGCCCTCAAAGCCCAGAGCAAACAGATGGGAGTCCAAATGCCTGCTTAAGACAAACACAGTTAAGCCAAAAACATTCTTGGTATGGAAAACAAGATCCTCAGAACTGTCCACTAGAGCAGGTTCCCATTGTTCAGCCTCAAACTCCACCAGTAATCAAAGAGGAGACTACAGGTCCTTTGGATGCATCCTTCCCTTTACATCAAAACCCCTCCCCTGCAATTACCTCAGTCACCTCCTTGACCTCTATCACCTCCCTCATCTCTCTACCAGGCTCTGGACAGAAAGCCCTTTGGCCTTTTGAAGCTTCATCAAAGGTCTGCACCAATGAAGAACTTAACACCAACGCTCAACACATCTTTAGATCAAGGAGGTCACCTTGTAAGTGTCAATGAATTGTGTTATGGGTTCCATTTATTTAGTTTACTGATGTACATGTTCTGATCTTATTCTCATATATGTGTGAAAAAACTTTGTGCAAACGTTTTAACACAGGAATTCATAGGTTTGCAGCTACAATTTATACAAAAATATATATAAAAAAATCTGATATCTGAATCTGAAAACAAGATGGTAAGAAAAAATTATGTATTTATGTCAATTGTATGCATGCTTCCTCAACTCTGCAGGTGTTATGAGGGAACGTCAACATGGTGACTCATTCTTCATGACTGACAGACCCCCTGAAGAGTTCTGCCTCTCCCCAGAAGCCCCTTCAGATCTTCTTTCAATTGATCTTCTGCACAAGAGAAGTGAGATGATGAATAATCAGATTCTGCATAGATAAACAACCACATTTTCCCTAAATTTTTACGTCACTATTATCAATTGCTAATATGTTCTGTTTTTGTATAGCAATATGCCTATGATTTGTTTGAAGATCTATGTGAATATGAAAATTTCTACAGTAGCTTTTACCACTTAGAAATTCCAAATGCAGAAAATACTCTAGAAAAGTGAAATACAATACTTTCTCAGTATGCCATTGAAGGCAAAATCCCTTCTGTTACAGAAAGATACAGAGTGGATCTCTGCAGCATTGCCTCTGCTTCCCTGAAGGGGAAAATGTGACCTACTTATAACTCTCACTGCCATGGATTGGCTAACACACTCGGCATGTTAGTGTGTGTGTGTGTGTGTGTGTGTGTGTGTGTGTGTGTGTGTGTGTGTGTGTGTGTGTGTGTGTGTGTGTGTGTGTTTCTATGTGAGCACACGTGCACTACTACATGTTCCTTTTATAGTAGGTTTCATGTATCTTTATATAAAGTTGTTCTTGTCCTTTAGGGGTCTTTTGATATCAAGATTGACAGAAATTACCTAAAAGTACAGCATTTTAAAATAATTTGCATTGTGTAAATATTTATGCATGTCCTAAATTCCCTTACAAATTGTCAGGTTGAATGTTGAGGGATCAGAAACAACGTATAAAATATGTTTTAATGAATTTAAATCTCTACCTCACTCATACCTCTCCCATTTCCTTCTGTTTTTCCGCAGGTATGTTGAAAGCTGTGAGTTTGCCAGTGGATCTCATAATGGCTCATTTCAACTCAAGACGAGACCCAGAAGAAAAGGTAGAACAAGGAGTCAAAGAAATTCAAAAATGTCATAAAAGTAACATGGATAGTAGATAGATGTATGATTGACTAAAAGAAACGTCAAATATTACAGATGGGTATAAACGGGGTTTGAAATGAACAGCCGCCAACCTGCCAAATGTGGGTAAAAATCAGCTGTGGCAGGTAATGCTGTCAAATCACTAGCCAATTGGGCAGGTTACTGTACTTCGTAAATTATGTTCACTCGTTAATTTCTTGGGGAAGTTCATATAAACCAAATCTGCACAGATTTAGCACAAAAACTGAACTTGTCATCATGATATATTAAATACAGCATAATTACAGCGTAATATATCAGTCATCGTGATATATTAAATACAGCGTAATTGCACAGCATCTATGCATATCTAGCTTACTTCAACGTACCCATCCTAATTAGACAATAAAATTGTTTTGTATTTAGTGTAATGTACAGACATAGAGTCCTTTTAGAAGAATAAGATGTCTCAATCAGATGTCTTAATTTGTTTTGTAATTTTGTTTTCAGATCAGACTGGGAAATAGTTTACTGTGCACCACTATGAGCTACCTTGTCCTTAAAAAGCTCTGCCCTGCAATCCAGAACATCCTTCAAGACGGATTGAAAGCCTATCAATTGGACTTGATTATTGGACAACGACGCAACAAACTATGGAACGTCGTAGAGGCCACTGCACGACCAGGTCTGTGTGAGCCAATCAGATGAAAAGCAAATGAAACATATTCATTATCAGAGTGCTTTCAAAAGCTAATTAGAAACTGTTTTTTTTATGATTGCCAATATTCACAATCTTCACAGGCTCGTCTACCCGACTGTCTGACAGCTTGGTGTCTGTAGTAAAAAAATGTTCCCAGTTACCAAGTCGCATGCGGCTCAGTGTCTTTATCATAGATCTGCTAAAGTAGGTCAAACGCTGAAAACATTTGCACAAATTTATGCCACAGTACAGTTAGCTAATGAAAATATTGCTTTTTAGCTTGCATGCTTTGGAATTCTGGATCCGTCATTTATACACATGCGTTGGTGAGTATTATGATGTTTAGAGACAATTGTAAAGGAGTGCTCCAATACTTAATTCCTTAACATTTTATATGCAACTCTTTTCAAGATGTTGTGACAGAACACTATCACCAATGGGGTTTCTTGGCTCTGGCCCAGGGGCCAACTTATAGACCACTGTTCCAAGAGCTGCTTCTTTTGCTGCAGCCACTCTCTCTGCTGCCATTTGACCTCCATCTTCCATCCGAACCTCACCTTCAAAGTAATGAAAAGCAAACGAACAGAGCACCCCTGCCTCAATGGCTTCTTGGCCAGTCAGCTCAGATCCTGGAGATGAGCTCGATCCAGAAGAACAGCAGGAGTCCAACAGGTCACAGTGATGCCTTCAGTAAAAGGGTAACTGATGGATTTTGGCTCAATCAGACACCCATCTCAGAGTGTGAAACACAGAAGAAAGAGGATGAAGCAACCAGAATGGAAAACAGTGAGATGTCACAATCTTCATCAAGTCCTCTAGAGGACAAACACTTTAGTGAGCTGCGTTGGGCCAGGCTCTTCGGCTCTAGAGTTGGAACACCAATTGGCCCACAGAAGGCACAAAAAAACATGAGTGGACCTCTGAGAAGTAGGTTAGTAACCATGATTCTTCAAAACTTCTCATAAATTCACTTTGTTAGCTTTGGTTGTCTTTATGTCAGAACATTTGTCTTCCTCCAGGCGGCCCTCAGAATGGCTGAAGCTTGGTGCATCCAAAGTGGATCTGCTTGCGCATTCAGTATGGACAGGGAAATTGCCAGAGGCTCATCTGAATGGTAACCATGACGGAGATACACCAAATAAAGATGAAATATTAACTCTAAAGAGCCAGCAAAGAGTCTGATTTTAGCTAGACAGAGTAAAGCACAATTAATCCAAAATAAACTTTACATAGCCAACCGACTCATACTGTACAATCCAATACAAGTGCACCATATCTGTTCCCGGATGGAATGCTGCCTTAGTGATTTACCAATCAGGACAAGTTGTATTATAACTTGGTCTTTAAAAGGTAACAAAATATTCACTAGCTTTAAGCATCAATGATGATGAAATAATTTTTTTTAGTTTAAATGTATAACACATAGTACAATGCAGAGTATAACATGAATGGATATTGTCTGCCAGCAATCAAGCACAAAACTGGAACCGAGGTCCCAAGATGTCTTTTCCGACCAAACTCTGCACTTTATCTCTGTCTCAGGTCATTAGCTGTCATGTAAATCTAGTCATATAATTTCTGCTGTTGTTGAACTAGTTGGCATTATAAACAAAATACTTTTCCTCATAGTCTGTTTGAAATAGTTTCTGTAACTTAGCCATGTCCATGCATGATAAAGAAGCATTAATGTCTATGCATGACAAACTAATAGTTTTCCTTTTCAGTATTCTGTGAATTACAACGGCTGGTTTTATTGCATTTTTGCATGATGAAATCAATTAGATAGCTACTTTCTTTAATAAAGATGCATGCTAAGTATCTATATATTATTGTTTCAACAGCAGGACTAGTTCAGTAGTGATATTTGTTGATGACATTTGCCCAAGCATGACCCCTGATGTTTTTGACAGAAAGACGGACAAGAGCTCATTGAAGATGATGGTTTGATTATGAGTGAGTTTTAACGGCAGTGGTTTTTCTATTTCCTGATATTAAAGTTGTGCCTAATTGGAAACTTGTGATGATAAAGATTTGTTGAGTCCTTAATGTTTGTATTGTGTGCTTTTGTGTATGTGTGTGCAAGAAGAAGGTTATAAAAAGCATGTCTTTTGAAAAAATAGATTTCTTTTAGTTGACTTGTCAGTGATCACACCAATTCCTTTCAAAATTCCACTTTTAAAGTTATTATGGTACATTCACTTAAATATGACAACACTAACTCAACAGCTACATGTTGCTTGTTAGATGACCAAAATGACTTTAATTGTTCTTAGATGGGTTATGTGTGATAACTGATTTCACTTGCACTGTTGGGTCTTCAGTCCAGTCTGTTTTCCCCTGTGTTCTTCTTCTGTGTACCAATGTGACCCAAAGCATCATTGGTGAGCTTCCCAAATGTATGGCCATATTGAAATCTGTACCCTGTTGACATAATTACCTCGCTTCATTACTATAAATGATAGCAAGCTTTCTACAAAAGAACATAATTACCATCTACACATACCTGGTATGTGCCCCATGTAGGAGGGTAGGAGCCCTGTTTTGGAGGGGTATATTGTGGGTATCAGAGGCAAGCTGGCAGACTCCTCCCTTTGCAAGTTGAATGAGATCCGACCTGCCTTAATTTCTTTGTCAAACTGGATCAGTGCCTTGTTGGTGATGATGGGATATCCAGCACCAAAGAGGAACCGGGCTTTGGGGACGTAGCCAGTAAAACCTGTCAAAATGACAATTATTACAAATTGGTACAAAATTCAGAGCTCTGAGCACCTTCATCACATTTACAGTACATTTAAAACACCGTAATTTGTTTCTTAGTAAGCCCAACATTGGCTAACCTGAGATGAAATACTTATGTGGGCTGCTTTCCTCCATGAGGTACGGGGAGCCTTGTGGCTTCCAGGGGTCCGGGGCCTTGTAAGGGGCAGGATCTTTAGATATGGCTGTAAGAGGGCTGTTCAATCTTTTAGGCTACAACAAAGGACAACCATCAGATTCAGCTTTTATTAACTATAACTAGATATTGTAAATATGTTCTGAACAACAAATTGAAAAAGGTAGCTGATGAATATAGCTAAAAAAAAGAACAGCTTCTATCATCTGTGAATCAGGGGACCTTCACAGCTTGTTGTAACACAATGGGGTGATAATTGGCTGAAATCATGTGGTGTCCTGATTGGAGAGCTTGTTTAGTAACAGTACTTCTTTTCATTTACTGGGCATGTGACACTCGACCTGCTTTGATACTGGATATTTAGCATGTATAATTGAACAGGGTGACCCTACACAGGAGCGCTGTGAAAGAGAAGCAATCCGACTGTGACAGCTTACTTTGAAGTCTGGGACGCTGTTGTTGAAAGCAAAAGACAGGTCAGCAGAAGCCACACGCAGTCTCTTTTCTTGTTCCTGGTTGAACTCTGATAGTGCATCTCGACAGGTTTCTGCATATGTTTTGCAGAAGTAGTTTTGACGCAACGGAACAAAACCTTGGAGCACAAGAGAGAGATATAGTGCATGTTAACAGTTTTGCAAACTAGACACCAAGTATTGCAACCCCCCAAACTGTTACCTGTGTATCCCGGAATCATTTTCTCCAGGTTCCTGCTGCCTCCATGTCGGCTTCTCCAGATTTCATTGCGGGGTCCTGTGTCCTCCTCTGTGGATGGGAGACGCCCGGTATGGAGCACAAGCCTCTGTGAGTGAGACACCTCCGGGGAAGATAGGAGCTTTGCTGTTAACTGACCATAAGTCTGGCCCACATTATACTTCAGCTGAGGACAGTAGCCTGCATACCTAAACAAAACCATCAGCAGATGTTGGCAATAATGATTATATTATAATACTTTTAAGTCCATATAATTCAAGTGTATGGGACACGTAAAGGTGATGCTTCATAAACTACACAAAGGTAATCCACATGACCCCAGCTGATGAACCAATGCCTTCTGAAACAAAGAAAAATACTAATATTTAAAACTTTTTTAACTATAAACCATCACTTCTGGCCAACTGTTCAACGCTTCGTTAGCATGTTGTGAAGTCTGATGTAAATGAATGCGCTGTGAAACTCACACAAGAAGTGACAGTCCTCTGTTATTCCACGCCACTTCTCGAGTCACGCATTGCTTCACAATTAGCTGATGTAGCCCTTCATGAAGCGTCAGCTTTGCAGGTCCCATACACTTGCATTATATAGATTCACAGAGATGGAATATTTTTCTAAAAATCTTTGTTTGTGTTCATCTGAAAAAAGAAAGTCATGTACATCTGGGACAGCTTGAGGGTGAATAGATGAGAGCATTTTCATTTTGTTTTGAGTGTCCTTTTAAACATGCTTTTATAGCCTATATTATGTTATATATTATATTATTAAACCAATACATTAAAAGTGCATTTGGTAAAAAGGCAAAATGAATGCTGAAGATTGAAATACCTTGGGGGTTTAAAGTTAAAGGGGTCCTATTATGCTCTTTTACAAAGTCTTGAGTTAGCTGGGCCAGTGTGTGCTGTGATTGGTTAGCTGGGCCAGTGTGTGTTGTGATTGGCAGCACTCGGCGCCTGGTCGGGAAATGTCACGCCCCTTACCATAGCCGCCTGCGAGCTTCAGTGTAAATATTGCGTCAAAATCAAATCAATTTTTAAAAGTTAGTGAAGATGAAGAAGTGACATTTCCAGTGATATTGATTGATTGATTCATTGATGGATTCATTCATCCATTCATTCATTTAGACCAGAGAAGGCCAAACCAGGGTGCGTGAGTCAAAATTGGCCCATGATAACCTTTGATTTGGCCAACCATCCCAAATCACAAGAGGGGGAAACATGCCATTGAAGCATCTTCATTTCTAATTTATCCTTTTGTTTTATTTATTTATTTGCAAATAGGTTAATTTATGTATGTATGTATGTATTTAATTTTATTTATTTAAAACAAATGCATTTATTTTCAACCCACAGCCCTCAATCTAGTTTGATTTTTGGCCCTTCATAGTAAAAAGTTTGGACACCTCTGATTTAGACAGACAGACAGACATCCATCTGGCAGTAGATTACTATGACTGCTGGCAACAGACACGCTTTGTTTGTTTTGAGTCTCAAGTTACATATAGAAAGGATTTTGTAAGAGTTATTTCAACATAAACCCAGACCTATAAACTATAATTAAACTATCATTCAAAATAATAATTAAAAATTGTTTTACTTTTTCAAACTCTTTAACATACACAGCTAATTTCTGGAACAAAATAAGAAACAGATCAATTAATAATAATGCAGGGAAATAACTGAGAACTCACCCTGGGATGTACTGCGGGTCAGGTGTCACCAGCACTTTACTAAATTTGGGTGGAAACCGCTCCATATTTTCAAACCCGCAGCAGTTTTGAATGTTGTTTAACGGTTGCTAAGGTGAGGAGAGGAGCGCGTGCCATCATTCTGTCAGCGAGCGCGCGTAATGCCGTGTCATCCTCAAGAGGGAAGTGTGCGGCCACCTAAATTAAATAAAACAATTCATTGATAAACCTAGAGAAAATAAATGTAATTTTATGAAACCGTTTAAAGATAAGCTCTCTCGGCGGTTGTTCTATAAGCCAGTATTGGTCGGTGACGGGTTTAAACCTGCATGGGTTCGCTGCATCTGCCTAGTACTGTATGACCTGGCTGGTAAAGATAATGTTACATGACAAGTCAGTTAGTTGTGATGCTGCAGCCTCTTGTGGGTAGTAGGAGAAATGCAGCCAGAATACGTTATAGCCTCAAAAAGAAATATAGGCTAGCTATAACATTGCAACAGGTTAATTACTATCCGTACATAAAATAATTTAAATGACACAAGAGAACAAAACCTAGCATATTCACTGATAACCAACGCGATATTAAACAGACTCATCCTCAAAACGTTCCACGCTACAGTATGTTGTAGGTTTTGTCGAAACACATGGAGATTTCTGAAGAATCTTCACGTCCTTTTCTAGAGTCAGTGAGTTGATCTTGAGAATCAGATGAATCATTTTCAACATGTTCCATGTGAATGTTTACATGCACTAATTTTCCTCAATCCTCAAGACTGTAGAAAGCACTTTTTTATATGTAGGCCTACCTTATACTTAGTAATTGACATTTTTACCATGTCTTATAATTTCAAATTACATCTAGTCTACCACCGATCTGACTCCTTGTAAAACCTAAATAAATATTCCGAATCCGGAGGAGGAACTCCAGTCCGATTAAAAATATTTTGGAAAGGATTATTAAAGATCTACACTTAAACTTCATTTTTTAACTTACTGATTCAATCATTCGATCACATTAGATCTCAAACAGCCTAAATGTATCATTGTATTAAAAATGTCGTATGACTTATAGGCTACAGTAAATGTCTATTCCTCAGCTATGGTATATGGCTTCAGAAACTTGAAATATAGTGAACAAGTCATATAGATATTTTTATTTCCAACGTTACAGGTGTGGTGACTATTGCCGAAGGCCTGGGGAGGTCATGATGGAGGACCCCACACAAGAAATGCATTGACCTTGCTGTGACCAGCGTCTTCTGGACGCATTAACATGTGAGAACATATATATATATATATATATATACTAATTATGTGCAATAAATAATATCATAATGCAATAATATAATAAATTTAATAACACAGATTATAGTCATAATACCATAAATCTAATCACACTAAACTAAATATAAAAACAGTATCTTCATGGGTGTGTATTTCGTGTGTATTATGATTATTGTTTAACAGTTTAATTTGTGGTTTGCATTTTGTTGATGTTGCATATTTTCATTTTTCCTACACAGAGAGGAATGCGGATGTTATCAATGCACAGGAATGTCTATTCCTCTGCACGGCTCATACCAGCAGATACTGCATAGCTGTGAACTGAATGACACTCTATGGTCCTAGTTTCAGGTCCTAATTATGCATTATATAGGCTATGTGAAAAATGACTCTGAAGTACCATTTCCTCAAGCTTGAGTTGGTAGTCAACCAATATTGACGGTTGCCAAGTGAACAACACTTACATTAAGTTGTTACAAATGGATCACTTTATTCATTTCTCTCATGCATGTATGCGTAGGGATTTGAAAAGGTCCTTCATATTATGCTGGATCAAGGGCGTAACCATGTCTTAGACATTAATGGGGTGGACCAAACCCATTTTTGTCTAATATGTCAAAAATTGCTCCATTATTGATTTTTGTTAATCACATTTAATTATGAATTATGAATCACTTAAAAGACCTATATTTTTTTACTTCAAAATGGCAAAATTTGACAAAAAAGTCAAGTTTGCATCACTGCATAATACTATTGGTCGTTTTAAAATTTCTATCGTAAAATAATAAATATTTTGCTACTTATATCTTACCTTGCCCTCATTTACAATTTAAACTCACCGGAATTCATGCCTTCTTTGATTTGATTGGCCATCTCAGTCATTTTGACATGATTGAGACTGCTAAGGAAGACCATCCTAACAACAAACAAAGCGGTGTAATGTGTAATAAAGTGTAGCAGAGCAGAATCAAGAATAAAAAAATATTGGGGTGGACGATTTGGCTATATTGGACACCACAGGGCTGGTGGTTATACATAAAGTTTGATCTTTTCAATGCATTAAAGACCTTATTTGCCGCCTTCTCAGCATACATACCAGCAGTTTCTGTTACTTTGTTTAAGGGCTTTGTGAAAGTTTCATCAGCCTCACAACATGTCTTGACAGATCCACCAAGAACATGAGCTCAGGATTTTAGGAACGGCACCGGAAGTGGAGCAGTTGTCAGAGGGTGATTGAGAAACATGGGAGTCGGAATGTGGGCGGCTCTAGAAAGGTGCTTTTAGTTCAATGTGACAAATCGACCTGCAAGTTTCTAGTCAGTTGTGAGAAAGTCAAGGTGCTGCGAAGAGTTTCACGTGTTCTGATTGACTACTGAAAGAAACAGAGTATACCGGACGAGAGAAATTCATTATCAATGAACCTATATAGGAATTTTGGGAATCTTCTGGAGAGTTGGGTGACCGAAGGCCACCAGGATTTATACTTACAGACAGGACCTGGTGTGGACAGATTAGATTCAATTTCTAGGGACTCTGTCCCACTATCCAATGTAAAATCAGAATCCGAGGACTCTGGATTTGAGACGGTTAGTACAACTAGTCCTTGTCATTCTCACCAGTGTAGTGCTTTGACATCTGAAGAATCACAGCCAGTTTTTGGCTCTACAGAGGATGAGGTTCAACCTTCATCCCCGTCTCCTTCTATTTGCTCATCCTCAAGTGTCTCTCTCAGCTCTGTGGCTCTAAAAACAACATGTCTGGAGGTGGAGCAAGCCTTGAGAAGGACAGATTCAGGCTCATGGAGAGGACCCCTGCACCAGATTGAAAGAGGGACCGCTGGGCCACGGTATCGCTCTAACACGGCCTCTTTTCCAACCAGCTTTCACTCAAACAGCTCCAGACCACATCATCGGTTTGCTCATCCAAGGAGAACTCATTCACAACCTCCAGATCCCAAGAAAGCCGAGCTGTACAGAAAATGCCACCAACAGGGCCAACCAGTAGACAGCCAGTTGGAGGTGAGCAGTCAACATCTACTTCCTTTATATTACATTCAAATCTAGGTTGAAGACACATTTTATCTCTTTAGCTTATGATGTTGCTTGAGATGTATAAAGGTTTTAGTTGAGTGAGTTTTATTTGTATGATTTGTTCTATTTTTATGAGTCTGTTTTTCTTTGTTACTTTGCTAATTCTATTTATTTCAGTTTCTCTTACTATTTTTCCTAATTTTACAGCACTTTGGGTGCTGTAAATAACACTAGGTTATACTAGGGTTAGATTATCTCTTTATATGTCATAAAATAATTCTCTTTTATGATTAATGTAATCATGCTGTTCCATCTGTGAACACGTGCTTTGCTACCTCATTGTGCACTGCTTCAGATGCACTTACATGACATATATAGTGCTCATTTGTCATGTCACACACTTGACATCAGGTGCTCCTTATGCTCCTCACACACCAAAATTACTTACCTGGTATTTGCGCACAGTTTTGTCATATACATAGCTGACTTTCTGTATTCATTGTGCACTGTAATTTTTTATGTCTTGGGAAAAAAATGACAATCAAGATTCAAAAAAGCTTAAAATATCATGGTTGCTTTGGTAAATTTCTTTAACTTAAGTTTTAAAATTAAAATTCATGCATTATTTATCATAATATATGGTAATATGATTTTTTTTTTTTTAATTACATAATTATTTAACAAATGACATAGCAATCTCACTAGTAACAATAGATGACATGGCCAAGGTCAAAGGCATAGTGCGCTGAATGCACTTTGACCTGCATCATGTGAGTCTTCATGGTTAAGAAATTACAAGCAGTGGAGTTGCATAACCTTTTATGACCAGCTCAGGTACATAATGAGCAGGTTACCCCTTACATATTTAACCCCACTGAAACACGCGCTTGATTCTTTCTTGAAGACACACAATACACATGCACAGACTAGACATCCTTTTAATGGACTCAGGTCTGGATCTGTCATGAGACGCTAAACAGTCGCCCTAAGACTGAACTGGCCAGTTCAGGTGAGAGAGGAATGACTGGAATGATGCCAGCAGGCTGACAGGAATGTGTGGGTGTTGAGAATGAATGCCACCGATGATAGATCTGTGCTGAACGTGTCTCAACGTAATCAGCGGGAACATGGGGAAAGAAAACTTTATAGGACTGGAACAAAAACAATAATTTCATTCTAATAAAGAAATAACACATGACATTTTTGTATAATTTAGAAATAAACTGGGTGATAAATGTCACCAGAGAGTATTTATAGTCTAGTTGTTGGAATTTTTGAAATAGAGGAGACTTGAGGGGCTTATTGTCACGAGGAAGCTGTTAGTTAGATTTTATGTTTAAACTTAAGCTTAAATTTAAGATCGATGTATTTGAATTTCTTATAAAATTTCCACCCATTTAGATTACACAGTTTTAACATAAACAAACTAATGAACGTATTGTGATGCATATTTGTCAGTCATACATAAATGAAACAGGTAAGAAACAGATTTCTGTAATCATACTAATAAACTGAATGGTAGCAACTTTACAGTCCTGTTCTGCATGCACATACTACTTATTATAGCAATTACAATAACTGGGTAATAACTAGGTACTAACCCTGAACCTACCCCTAAACCTAACCTTAACCCATGTAGTTACCTTATACTACCCAGTACTTTCTTGGGTAAGTATATTGTACACCATAAGTGGACGTACTGTAAAGTGTGTTTTAAATACACTGTAAGCAGGTTTATATATTTATCAATAAATCAAATTAGTTTCAATCGCATACATTTTAACTAACTGGATATTGCTTGTTTTACAGCTAGTCATATTATAACCATGTTTATTTGTTTTCACAATAAACAGATTTATGTTGATTTTTAAATGCATTTTGAAAATGTTTAAATAAAATCAAATAGATGCAAATGTTTTTTTTAAGTGCAGAAATCTTACCTGTTTCATGTATGTGACATTAAGTTTATTGGTTTATGTAAAAATAGTGTAATCCAAAAGGCTGGATTTTTTTTATGCAGTTTAAATACATAAATCTCACATTTAGGCCTAAGTGTTTTTTGAATGCAGTGATGATTAAAAACAAAAAAAAAACAAAACATATATTCAGATAAGGATAAACTGTATAATTAATGTAGATATTAGCTGAAATGTTAAACTGGTTTCTCAGGACAAATACATTTTTGTAAATGTCAGATTGGGGCAATTTGTCCCTTTTTTTTTTTTTTTGAGCCAGTTCTACTTTATAACATAATTTAATAACATTTCTGGTGGTCAAGACAATTGTTTAATTTTAAGTATGTTGCATGTACTCTTTTGATGTCCCATTCAATGCTAATTGCTTTGTGTTTCATATGTTTTACAGTTTTAATTTAGCTGTAACATGCAATATAAATAGCATATATATATATATATATATATATATAGTATTATATTGTATTTATATTGTATCATTACATTATTTCCTTGTAAAAATGCAACACTGCGGCGCTATCAAAAAATGACTTGAGCAGCAAAATTTAAGCTGAGGGGTGGGACTATCTGTTTGTTCAACCTATAGCTGAAAGGGGGAGTGTTCAGAAAAGCTGAATAAAAACAGTCATTATTTTTGTCAATCTGTTTGGTGATGCTAATAGTACAGAAATTACACACTTCAGCTTTAACATTTTTTATTTGCATTCACTTCCTTTAAAGGGACCTCAGATGCTCAGCTTCCCTATGTTGAGATTTTCAGTTGTTCAAACTGCAAAGCAGCCCAGAATAGACATTCATAACTATAATCTGTAAACTATTTAGTACTAAGAACAGAGAAATCTGAATCTAGAACAGAGATCAGGTTTTGCATTTTATACAGTACAAATTGATTAGCTTTTTATACCCCACCAAATTAGATAATAAAAGCTTTACTGTTCCCAGCACTAGGAATCTTAATGAATACAGGTCTTGATCTCTCTGTCTCAGCAGCTTGCGGACAGTGATCAATACAGGCTGGACAAACTGTCTCCAGGGTTGCTGTACCTGGAGCAGGTGTGCAGGATGCTGGAGAACATTGCAAAGCTACAGCAGCAAAACTACAGCCTGCAGAAAGAGGTGGAGATCCTGAAGAGTCAGCATGCTGAAATAGAGGTTAGTGACACTGATATATCACACAAAGCTTGCCTTTTTAGGTCTTATAATCAAGACTTTCCAGTTCTGTATTGCTGCCAAGTTTATGTCAGTTTGCCAAAAGAGGTGTCGTGTGTCAAAATGACTTCTTATTGTTTCCTGTAAACTGAAACCTCAAATTTCAAGCACATTAACTCACTAACTAAATGTTTCCAGCTTGGAAGCTTGCATGAGGAGGAAATAAGCTATCCTGCCAGTCAAGGTTTACAGATTCTGGGTCATCCACCTAGCGAATCGACTCACCTAAAAGAACCCATGGGATTTCGTCACAGATCAGTATCTGACACTCAGGCAGCCGTCGGCCATTACAGTGAGTCTTTTTGACAGATGAACCAGAGACATTGGTTTGGTGTGTGTCTGTTAAAAATAGATGTCTATCCTACAGGGAGAACAAGGTTTGTTCAAGACAAACCTATTGCAGATGCCTTAGTCGAGGAACCTGATGGTAAAGATTCTGTAAGTAAATAGTGAGTGGGCCAAAAATTCATCATTTACTCACCCTGACATCTTTCGAAATCTGCATGTTTTTTTTTTTTTATTCTGTTGAGTTAAAAGAATTATTATAACAGACTGTCCAAGCTGCTTTCATACAATGAAAGTGAATTTTGACCACAGCTGATAAGATTTTCAGTGAATAAAGACTTTAGTTTCAGTCTGTTTCTCACAGAAAGCTATTGCATACCATCAGAAGACTTATAGAGTGTAGTTATAAAGACTTATAAAGTCATAAGGTCATATGTACTTTTATGAGCACTATTTTATAGCACTTTTTGGAGCCCCTGGTCCTCATCCAGTTTTCGACATTCTACTAGACTTTTTCTTTTGTGTTCTGCCAAAATAAGTCTTGTTTTGGAACATGAGGATGAGTAAATGACTGAGTTTCATTTTTGGGTGAACTATCCCTTTAATAGTAGTATTAGTCTAAGTAGCATGACATGTGGATGTTAAAAGTTATAATATGACTGTTCCTCTGTTTGTTAAACCAGTTACCCGAAAATGAGCACAAAAAGCCGAGTAAGATCCAAAAGCTGAAATTTGCATCATTTAGAAGGCAGGAAACACAACAGTCTGACAGAGAAAGCAAAAGGTAAATTTGAGAAAATTAAAGTCTTATATTTTCTTTAGATTGCTATTGCAAACATTTTAAATACTTACTATTTTAATGATTATGCATCATTTTTACAGTTGTTAATGTTAATTTATTACACAAGTGTATCTTATATACTTTTATTCAAAGCTTTCAGCCTAAGAAGAAAACAAGCTTTTTCAGTAGGAGTAGAAGTATGACTACACGTCTCTAACATTCATGCCACATTGATGCCCAGTGATGGTGGCTCACACCTCCCATTTACCTGAGGATTATGGCACTTTTATATGTATAGCTTGTTTTAGTCAAGTATTTAAGGCTGCACTTAAATAAAGTACTGAGTAGTACTAATAGTCTTCATGTACTTAATGGATACTTGTTTTTTTGGAACTGTCAGTTCACTTTGTTTTTGTTAATCCTATTGTTTATAAATTTACAATGCAAAATGCTGCCAATGCGTAGTTTTCATCGCTAGATCCATTCATTGTATTTTAGTTATTTTCTCATCTATCATGATCTCAGTCTGTAAACTTTTGCTGCTAAAAGAATTTGTTATTTTGTAATACTAAGGTGATTTCATAACAATTGTTTAATATAATAAAATATACAATAAACCACTCTGCTTGCAAGATTACATACTCATACAAGTTTACATTCCCTTAGCAGAATCTGATGTTTTGCATTTTTAAAAAGAGAGATGGATTTTAATATACTGTACTCCACAGTACAAAATAATAACTGACTTTATCTATAGTATGCACAATATAAATTTATTCACAACTATCAGAAAAGGCTACAAACAGTAACTGATGCTTGATGAGGCAACACATGATATTAAGAACCAAGAATATGTACATTTTGAACAGGGTAATTTGTGTAAATTCAGCTCTGTCTTGTGGAATATATGTAAGTATCTGTAATGTCAAATATATTTCCATCAGGTCAGTAATGTGATCTAGAAAATATGATCCTTCATATTTATAAAAAAATATATATATTTGGGCTGGTATGTCTAAAGAGGGTGTGATTTTGGATAGAGGGCACGTGTTTGTAGGAATGGGTGGGGCCTAATTCAATGACTAAATCTAGAGGATGTTAGTAAAATGGCCCAGTCACTTACAGCACCTAACTTTAAGTTTAAGTTTAGACCAAACAAACAGTTTGATTTTTAAATTCTTTATTGGTCTGTATTATACCCAGGATGGGGGGAGATAGACTTCCCTTGGCATTCCCATTTAAAGAGATGTCAATGACGAACACATCCAAACAAGAGGTCGAGGGCTATAGGGAAATCAGTTCATACATAAAATACATTTACTCTGATATTTCATATCTCTGACTTTACACACAAGTGTCCTTTTCACTTTAAGTTCACATAGCATCCTGTGCTATTAAATATATAGATACATCTGTGACCCTTCGGAGAAGGTGAATATGTGTGACTCAAGATTTTCAGATTGTGGAATAGCTTTTGGGATGAGCTCAGGATGCTCTCCATTCTACATGATGCCACAGGAGGAAAGAGGGTTGGCAATGTGGCAAGTGCAAGCCGATTGACAGTACTGGCGCACCGTCTGATAGCAGCTGCGGTCACCATCGCTGCCCCACTGCACGGTCCCTGCCGGATCAGGCGGCAGCCGGCTGAGGATGCTGGTGTTGATGGCCAGAGCGGCTAGCCCATAGTCGGTGAAGAGCACGGTCTCACGGCGGCAAGTGGGGCAGGAGATGAACTTGTACTTGGGACAGGACTCATACAAGATCTGCAGGCACTCCTCACATACTGAGTGCAAACAAGACAGGATGCGTGGGCGCTTGCCGGCAAAGTTGTAGGTGTGTCCACATGTGGGGCAGTCCAGTGGTTCGCATGGCATCACAGGGCCTGAGGAGGTGGAGGATGAGGAGGAAGAGGTGGAGGAAGAGCGGAGCACATACTGGTTGACGATGACGTTGTCCATCTTGTAGTGGAACTGGTGGTAGCAGATGTCAGATGTGCTGGCCTTGCGCTGGGCAAGATAACTTGCTTCACGGCGGAGGACAGGGGCAGGAGGAGACACTAAGGGTCTGGGTGGGACCACGGTGTTGCCATTGACCTCCATGGATAGATCACCACATGCCTGGTTGACGATCACCTCCCCCTCGCCTCCTCCATCCCAGGCCATACGGGGAGGTGGGGCGTAGCGAGGCTGGGTCACTGGAGCCGGACACTCCCGAGGGAACTTCTCCGACTGGATGATCTTGACAGTGTCCATGGGGATGGTCACAGGTTGGCGCCGCAGGCAGGACATTCACTCCTAGGCTCGGTGTTCTTGGCTAGAGGAACTGGGTGTAGAGTACGTTCCTGCAGAGTAGGTCTTCAGTGCACTGGGGGAGGACACTCAGCCATTGCAGGGGACGTGAGGACGGATGGGTTTGTCCATTGCTGTCTCAAAGTCCCTCCTTGGTCACGAACTGCGTCACCCTGAGTCTTTATGTGGCACAGATGGACAAAGACTTCCAGCCAGTGCACAGTATTAAAAAGGCCCTGAAGGACAATGGAGGACTGTGTCTTGCTTCGGAGGTCACGAGAAGTTGCAGTTTGTGGTTCTAGTGGTTAACAAAGTCTTGAGGCAACAACTTACACCCTGTTTACTGATATTGCACAACTGAGAGTTGTTAATTTGATGTAACAGGATATTATTACTTACAAATGAATGGCTGAACACTACAAAGTGTCACACTCAATATTAGAAGATATGTTGGCAATTGTTTCAGTGTTTACACTGTTACAGCACATTTATTAGGACATAAATACAATAACGACCTAAATACAGAGTACCTTGAAGAGAATCTTAGGATCTTACTAAGAAATACTGTTCAGCTTAATACTGTTGTAAGCTAAATGTCCGTAGACTGTCTCATAGGATGCTTGGTGAGTTTCAGAAAGGAACTGATGCAAACAATGTAACAGAAGCTACATCCACCTCAATGTCACAACCTTCTTCCTGTTTCAGGTCCCCGTTGTGGTATGACCTTGCCCTGTTGTTGCTTCTCCTCGTGATTGGCTGTGCTTACAACCTCCCTGACCTTTGTTCTGATAAGCTTTTCGGGGAGGTGCTCATGTGGCTTTGGAAAGATCTCGAAGGTGTTCTCCCAGTCCTTAAAAGACCAGAACTCCTTAAGGGGACTGCGTTGAGCTTGACAGATTGTGCGTCCACTCTTTGGTGTCGTGACAGGTCCGAGAGTCTCTCAGGAGTCTCGCCAGACTTTACTTGCTTCTAGCACTTTTCCCAAAGTGGTGCAGATATGCAGACTCATAGGTAGTGTCGTTTCTGTTCCTGGAGGAAAAAAAAATAAAACAGTTCAGGTGATGCTAATGCAAGGACACAGCTCAGCTTTTTTCATACCATTTGCCTGCGCTCTTGGGAACAGTGTCTAAAAAGTGTCCTGTCATCTAGAGCTAAAAACACAGCAGTGGGGAAATTCTGATGAAGAAAATTTAAGAGCTGATTCTGTGCAAAAGATTGTGATCTGCGCAACATGTCCATTCACAGCAGAAATCTGGAACCCCGCAGCATCTTTTCCAGTCTAAAAAACTCTCTTGCTCTATCTGCCAGCTGCCATCTGCGGCCCTGTGGGGCATGGGCACTGTGGAGGAAGAGGCTGAGGACCTGATCACAGAACAATCTGTCCTACTGCTATGAACCTATACATGCATTACAACACAACACAACACAGCAGAAGCCCACAACTCTAAAATGGCTGCCAGTGCTTATATGAAGTCAATTGTGAATTACTGTTTGCAAGCCATTTTACTTCCATAATGTGACATATTTCATAAAGTGAAAGAGGATATTCAACAAGAAAAATGTAGGACAGGACTTGATTTTATTTAGGTGAAAGTGGGTGTGGCTTATCAAAATAAAGATTACGTAGAGAAACTGTTTTTCTTTAGAATAACATATATACTACCAATAAATTGTAATGTGCATGTTTTGATTTCATGTTGAGTTGTTCATGTTGGTTGCATGTTGAATGATCCTGTGCTATATTTACATTTAAGATATTTAGTAGACATTCTTATCAAGAGCGATTCAGCTTCACATTTGAGTAGTATTGTGATATATTTGGGAATATATTGTCAACAGCTAAAAGGAAGTTGTCAAGCATGAGGCACACCCTCTTTAGTCATAACACTGTATTCACAATGTACAATAGCATGGTTTGAGTATCTCACTGTTTAAAAAAAAAAAAGTATTTTAGCATAATATTAAGGACACTAATTAAGTTTCCAGTTTCGTATGCTACAGTATATTGACCAGTCAGCATCCAGGACAAGTTCCGTTTAAGTAAGTCATTTTTGGTTAGATGGACGTGTGAAATTGTGTGACAGTTTTAAGACTGAACCATTTAAGAAAAAAATATTGTGGTTAGGGGTGGTGTGTGAATGTTTGTGTGCTTTATTAACAGTGGTGAGCACACTGACATATCTACAGTTCTCTGCATGCTGTGCAAGATGTGATGATAGAGAATGCACTAGAGAGAGGAAAATGAGAGAGAGAGGGAGAGAGAAGCAGAGAGAGGAAGCTGACCTACATACAGCAGAAAAGGTAGAAAGAGAACATGCGTCCTTTTACTCCACATCAACACTGTGCTTGTGATCTTATGCGAAAAAATAGAACACTTCCATTATAATTAACAAAGCTGCTTACACAACAAGTGCGTGACAGCACTTTAATGATTATCACAGGAGCATCTCGTTTTGTCGCATCACAGTGCTCTGCTCGCTTGCATGCAGAGTCGAAGAGGAATGGTACATTCATGTCATGTTGGAATTACCATAATTACAAGATTCTGATTAGTAAAAACACATTGGAAACTCGGAAAATAATGAAAGCCTGCTGTGAGCTTATATAAAAACCAATGGTAGTGACATAAACACGTAACGGGACATTTCACCTAAAATGAAAATTCATTATTTACTGACATTATTTACTCACCCTCTGTGTATTGTTATTTTTTTTTCTGTAAAACATAAAATGAGAATGTCAAGAATCTTCACAAGGCTCTTTTCCAAGACAGCTTACAGTGGCCACCGCTGTCAAGTAACAAATAAACAAACAAAAAACCATAGGCCATTATCCTACTGTTCCAGTCATACAGCAGAGGTTCACAGAAAATGCGGGTGCATGCGAGTTTGTGGTTCGTGGCCAAGTTGTGCCTCCCATTAAAAAATAAAAAAAATCTAACTGTGTGTGAACTTAATCGTATTACTCTCAAATACAGAACTGACAACCATATTGCTGTGTGAACGTGACAAAATGGCCTACTTGTTCTCAAATATTGTGCAAGATAATAGAGGAATTAATATGATGTATTTTGCTGTCATCAATAATAATGTCACATATGGATCCATGTTAGCGTTATGAGTGAGATAGTTCACAAAAACATACAAAATGTTGTCATTATTTACTTACCCATGTTCGGTTAATTCCAAACATGTATGACTTTTGGCTTAGCATAAAAAATATATTTTGAGAAATCTCTCTCTCAGAATTGTAATCATGCCTTGTGTGCAAATATGT